TTTTTTTTTTTGAGATGGAGCCTCACCCTGTCACTCAGGCTAGAGTGCATTGGCACTGTCTTGGCTCACTGCAACCTCCATCTCCTTAGTTCAAGTGATCCTACCTTAGCCTCTGAGTAGCTGGGATTATAGGCCCCCGCCACCACGCCCTGCTAATTTTGTATGTTTAATAGCGACAGCATTTCGCCATGTTGGCCAGGCTGGTCTCAAACTCCTGACCTCAAATGATCTGCCTACCTCGGCCTCTCAAAGTGCTGGGATTACAGGCATGAGCCGCCGTGCCTGGCCAATATAGTTTTTTTTTTCTTTTTTTTTGAGGCAGAGTCTTGCTCCATCTTCCAGGCTGGAGTGCAGTGGTGTGATTAGGCTCACTGCAGCCTCTGCCTTCCAGGTTCACGCGATTCTCCCACCACAGCCTCCCAACTAGGTGGGATTACAGGCACCTACCACCACGCACGGTTAATTTTTATATTTTTAGTAGAGATGGGGTTTCGCCATGTTGGTCAGGCTGGTCTCAAACGCCTGACCTCAGGTGATTGACCTGCCTCGGCCTCCCAAAGTGCTGGGATTACAGGCATGAGCCACTGTGCCCAGCCTCATTTTTACATTATCAAGATGTACAAGTCTGTGTGCTCTGATCGTAATTATCACAGCTGTTTGGATAGCCTTAGTTCTGTGTACAAATGGATTCAGTGTTCATCACCACTCTTAAAATGAGCTTTTTTATTCCTGAATTATTTTGATTCTTTTTGCAATATCTGGATTTTATCAAGTAATAGCCTTAAGGAGGGCTCAGAGGTGTCTTGCTTCAGATTGTGCATGGTCATGTGCTTTCACGTTTTAGGGGCAACCCATGTATAAAATTTTTAAATCCTGCTTTCTCTTTTCAGACCTTGTAAACCCCTGTGTTGTCTTCTGACAGTGAAAGCCCTGCCACCCTTTTGCCCTGGTGTCTCCTGTCATCTCCCAGTGGTTCTGTCTCACTGGGAAGTATATTTTTCTGAAAGGGCTTATGGGCATTCTAGACTCAGATTTTTCACTCACAGAGAAATGTGTTTTGGATGGAATGTAGCTTTGTAGGGGTCTGAAGGTGGCCTGATTTTTCCCCTTCCTTGTAACTAACATTTCTGCCACAATACTGTTGGCAGCGGCAAATCTGTAGGGGTCTGCAGCAACCTCAGTTCTTGCCCACTAAGAAGAAAGAATTTGACCGCGGCACATAAGGCGGAGGAGAGACCAAAGCAAATTTTAGAGCAGGAGTGAAAGAAAGTAAAGTACACTTGGCAGATGGTCAAATAGGCAGCTTGAGAGCTTCAAGTGACCATTTGACCTTTGACTTGGAGTTTTATACTTCTAAGTCTTGTGTTACTTCGCTTGTTTCTTCCCTTAGGGTGGGCTGTCCACGTGCTTAGTGGCCTGCCAGCTCTTGGGAGAGGCCACATGTACAGCGCAGTTATTGGAGTTGTACTCAAGCTCACTGCTCACTTGAGGTGCTTTTCCCTTACCAGTCAAATGTTCCTAGAGGAAGGTCGTATACCTTCCTCCATTTTTTGTTTGTTTGTTGAGACAGAGTCATGCTCTGTTGCTCAGGCTGGAATGCAGTGGCATGATCTCTTCTCAATGCAATCTCTGCCTCCCAGGTTGAAGCGCTTGTCCTGTCTCAGCCTCCTAAGCAGCTGGGACTATAGGTGCCTGCTACCACGCCCAGCTAATTTTTTGTATTTTTAATAGAGACAGGGTTTCACCATATTGTCCAGGCTGGTCTTGAACTCCTGATCTCAGGTGATCTGCCAGCCTCGGCCTCCCAAAGTGCTGGGATTACAGGTATGAGCCTCTGTGTTGTGCCCAGCCAATGCACACATTTTTAAACAATGTATTTCTCCTTTGCTGCTGCAAGTCATTGTCTATGTCATCCTCTTGATTCTTGCATTTCTGTTCTAATATCAGGAAATATTGCTTATGTTTTCTTGGTATCATTTTATATGGCTTTATTCATTGATCATTTTCTATAAACTCTTAGGATTTATTTTATATTTTTTTGCCTGAATCCTTATCCTTTTTTGGCAGTAGTATGTTCCATGATATATATATTTCTCTTTTCTTTTCTTTTTTTTTTTTTTAGATAGGG